ATAAAAAATATTTAACACATGAAACAGGATTTGTTTATTACAGTTAACATGCATTCAAAATACATAAATTAAAAATATGTGCCTTATAAATTAGTGAAAAAAATAATTAATTCAGTTTACCTTCTTTTATCAAATATAAATTGCAGTCACATTTTTTTTTTTAATAGTTACAAATAATATTTTTATGGTTATTGATAAAAATAAAGCCTTCTACATAAACTGTCCTAGTCTGTGCCGTGTTTAGTAATTAATAAATTATTTTTAAAAAAATACATAAAATCTTTATATTTGTTTATTCAGTTATTTATTTTTAAAAAACCTGGGATAGTGTCCATTCACAAGTGAATGAAAGTAGTAAATGTACAAAAAAGATAATGATTGCGATGAAAAATAAAAAATCTCATCAAAATTTTATCTCGCGATGAATCATTTATATTGAAGTCCTCAGTTTTGCAGTCACACATGAAGAAAAAATTAGATATAGTTAAATGTAGTTTTCACAAGACAGGCCCCCTGCCCAATATTACATGATTAGCCGAGAGTCTCCTATCCCATAACATCACGCTCAAGACCCATCAATCTCACCCTTCTTCGTGTGCAAAACGTTCTAGGCTCGACGAGTCTTCTCGACCCACTGCAGGCGATGCAGCAGCTGTCCGTGCAGTCCCAGGCGAACCAGCTACACCAGCAAGCGATAATCCAGCAAATCCAGCAGAGCTTGCGTTCGAGCTCGCCAACACCCACGAGCGCCACAGCGGCGGGCCATTACCTCGGACCCCGCCAAATGCCCAAGATACCCACGAGCATACTGACCAACCCCCTGGACCGGCTGACCGGGACGGACTCGAGCCTCGCCTTGCCCGAGGGCCAGCTCGACATGCTTGACATCCCGGGCAAGGGCCGCTGCTACGTGTACATCGCGCGTTTCACCTACGAGCCGTTCCAGCACTCGCCAAACGAAAACCCCGAGGCCGAGTTGCCGGTCTCCGGCGGAGATTACCTGCTCGTCTGGGGCCAGCCCGACGAGGATGGCTTCCTCGACGCGGAGACCCTCGACGGCCGCCGGGGCCTCGTGCCCGCCAACTTTGTTCAGAAGGTCGTGGGCGACGACTTGCTCGAGTTCCATCAAGCGGTGCTCGGGCTCAGGGACGTGGACGACGCCGTATCCACCAACATTCCACAGGTACCGGTAGGCTCCCCTCTGGGGTGGCACGACTCGTGACTATTACGGGCTAACGAATAGCCGAAGCAGCCTCTCTCTTTGCGGTTACCTGTACTTCTATATCTCTCTTATGCTTTTTTCTCCCTTTCTCTCTCGAGCTTCCTTTTTTTCTCTTTTTTTTTTTAATCACTGCAAGCACCAAAGCGTTCAGTGATACTCTTTTAAAACTCTTTTTTTCAAACTGGGATACTTATCTAGGTATCGACGTCTCTGTATAATACCTATTTGTAACTCTAACTGGCCAAGGTATTTATGGTTATTATGACTTTTTCATTTCAACCATTAACGTGATTAGTTTGTACAATAACGATAAGGAACAAAATCCATTGGGCTGTTTAACCGCATATTGAAACGTCCGTTTGGACATTAGTGTTACTTGCAGGACATCGACTTAGAATTGGCAGCGTTGGAGGAGGGCAACCGTAGCCGACAGGCCGAGCTTTCGGCGTACGCCGAACTGGATAGTCTCGACGAGGACGAGCAGGAACCGCCAGGTATGCGTTTCGTAAATTGTTTTTCCAATGTTGACTAATTTTTTTTTTTTTTTTTTTTCACTAACCCTTTGCCAAAAAGCTTCGTAGAAAAAGCTTACGTCTCCCCGAGAGATTTTCCTAGCTGCTTTATGTGTTCGTCCAGTTATTTTTGGGATGATTTAGTAAATTTTACGTTGTCCTTGTACTCAAATGATCCCAATCATATCTTGCAACCGGCTGCAGGGCGCTTGTTTTGGCTTGATAAACTTTTATATGAAAATATAAAACTTTTTTCCATCTACAACATCTTGCAATCGCTCGTAGACTCGGTAACCTAGAGGAGCTTATAAGTGTTTACATTAGGAGGTACTCTGTACAATTATTCTATGTAGTGCTTGGAATTCGCATGAAAAACCTTGTGCTTTACATGATCATAGAAGACAATTCGGTTCGATTTGAAATTTGATGCAAGTTATTACTTTCGTAAAATTAGACGCACCATAAGAGTCTACCAAACTTGAATCCATTAGACAAAGACTATTCACGCTGCTGCATTCTCATAGATTGTATTCTCACATTTAACCAACCCTAATATATGCCTGGAACAGTCGACCTATTACACTGTTTGCAAACAGGAATACATTTTTCAAAAGTAACACATCAAGTACTAAACTCAACTGTGACCTGTCAATTCGTAAGTAATTACACATACACACATTTACATATACTATCGCAAATCAATAAACACAAAGAATTACCAGTACATGTCGGGCATGTCGCACTTTCCTGTAAAATATCCATCAGAGCCCACAAATGACAAATGGAATATATCTATGATCCCAACAACTGTTGCATCTATCGATCCTACCCATACCGTACCGTTCCGTCCATCACGCAGCATCCAAAATCTGGCTTCGTTATCTAAGAGTACAGTAGGCAACTAGTTGCAAGTACTTTAGAGCTACAGCTAGGCTTTGTCCTCTGTTCTCTCTCTTTCCCTCTGAAGAAGTCTACATGTTTTCGGACCTAGTTCCGGCGCCCCAGCACCTCACCCTCGAGCGCCAGCTCAACAAGAGCGTCCTCATCGGCTGGACGCCACCGGACAATCCACAACAGATCGAGTGCTACCACGTCTACGTGGATGGAGTGCTCAAGGTTACAGTCAAAGCGACTGACAGGACGCGGGCCCTCGTCGAAGGCGTCGACTCCACGAGGGTGAGTCCACACGATCCATTGTGAACCGAAGATTAACGAAAGCACGAATGGTGATGGGTAATTGGTGATTCTCGTTGTCCAGCCACACCGAATAAGCGTGCGATCGGTGACGCACACGAGGCGGACGTCGCGAGACGCTGCCTGCACAATGGTGATCGGCAAGGACGTGGCGCTGGGTCCTACGGCGGTGAAGGCGTCGCGCGTGACGGCCACGAGCGCCGTGATATCGTGGCTGCCGAGCAACAGCAACCACCAGCACGTCGTTTGCGTGAACAACGTCGAGGTCCGGACGGTCAAGCCGGGCGTTTACAGGCACACGATAACCGGCCTGGCCCCATCCACCGTCTATCGGGTGACGGTCAAGGCGAAAAACTTGAGGGCCACCCACTTCGAGGACCAGAATGTCGCTCTGATGAACAACCAAGCCTGCCACGTCCACTTCAAGACGCTGCCCAAGGGACTTCCTGATCCTCCGGTCGATATCCAGGTTTGCATCTAATTTCCTTCGCTTTTACGCCGGCTTCTGTGCGATCGAGGCCCACACTCAACACTATCCCCACCCAACTGTTGTCGTTTCGGAAATCGGTTACTGATTGGTCATAGCCGTGCAGGACATTGGGGACACATACCTTGTCAGACATTATAATGTACGTTCATTTTGGTCTGTAACTGACCGCGTTGATAAGACGGAGACTGGGTGTTTGTTAATACAACGTTGACGACTATTAAAATCATGAATTTGTTGTTTGGAAGGCTCAATTTCATTTTTTGGTGCTCGATTAGTTATTACCATGGAAACTGTGGAATTACATAGAAACCGTAGGTCTAAGCAATAGAAATTTGCAGTCTGGGTAATGCACATATTCCATATAATTAATCACGTAGAGTTATAAAACCCTTAACGAACCTGGATAAGATTGTGAATTCCAAACAATTTCTACATTGATCGGTACGGTACATACTGTTAAAGTCGACATTTCTGGATGAGACCAATATAATTTGAAAGAAAACTAAATATTACTTATTATTAACACATCTATGGACAACTGAACAGACATACGTAACATAAATGATAGCAAATCATTTAAAACCACAAAGTTTTAAAGACTAAAAAGATCAGCAATCGAAGAAGACAACAGTTTACGCATAACGGCAGCGAGCTCAGCTAATTGTTATTTATATGTTAGTCTTAAAGACATGATGTGCACCACATTTTTAGCTTATCGTTTTTTTTTTCTGTTACTACATGTATGTACTTTTTGTAGTACATCTGGGGGCACACACTACAAAGATAAAAAACCAATGACATGACACCTTAAATTTATGTAAATTGATGTGTTCACCTTTAATAAATTCATTTTTGCATTAAAAGATATGTTTCAACGCTACGTACAAAGAGTCGTACGATTCGTAGATGAAAATCATTAGATACATTATATTCAAAGAGTAGCACTGTTTGTAGAAAGGTGGTAGTATCTGTTCTTTGTAAATCGTATGAATTGATTGAGTAATAAGTTATTAATCTCATTTGACATATGTGGCTTTTTTTTCAATAGAATAAAGATAAACTTACAACATGTTTCCGAAAAGATGAAACAAAATTAAACTTAAACAGGAAAAAAAAACAAAAAACCAGTAGTTCAAGTGACAAATGTATAGATTAGAATATCTTAGAGACTCAGTAGGTAGAAGTGCAACTTTCATGTTGGGTTGAAATATAAACAGATAGTCCGAATTAAGCAAGCTCTAGACTACTATATCCTTGGGGCATATCCGTCTCACAATAGGAGGATAGGGAGAAGTGTTCAAGGAGCTTGTGTCTTCCTAAGTAAAAATTTCAGGAATTAATACATAAATTAGTTGTGAAGGCCAGGACATTTGATAGAAACGGTTACAATTTTTTTAGTTAAAAAGCATTCGTAGGAGTAAAGATAGTTAATTCACATCGGCGAAAAGCGGAAGGTGTGGAAATCATTGTCATGATTTAGTCTTGATATACTGGTTGTGAGGTTTAATAGAAGGTATAATGCAGATCTTCACGAAAATTCTTTTCTTTTGTAACTAGAAACCTGTTATCTAATTGTAGGAAAACCTAACTACAGAGCCACACGTAAGTGTGAAATGTATAAGGGTTTTAAACGGGTGTATGAGTAGTTCAGGTTTACGAAATGTATAAAAGTGAATAAGCGAAATGATTTTGAAGTTGTACTTGTGATATGATAGCTAATCATGAAACAAGAGTCACATATATGCAATGCTTGGATCTTAATTTATTTATTCAAAGTAGATTTTACTGGTCTATTGGTAGCATTCTATTGGTCAGTTTATAGTATATAATAGCTTTGATATTAGAGTCAGATTGGAAGACAGAGTAAGGATTTTTTGAACCCTGAAATGTATCAAGTAATTAGTGTATCACATGATACGTACAAACCTCATTGGTTTCATCTTAAGGATCAACCTCAGCTTTAGGGATCACTGTTCCATTAAAGAGTCACATTCGGTACTTATGTTTTACAAAATACTGTTATTTCTGCGAGTTTGTAGGTTTCATTAAAATCCCTGTAGCTCAAGTTCTTTTTAATACAAATCACAGTTTATTTTTTGCCATGATAAAAACCATTGGAATATTGTACAACGAATTTTAATATTGCACCAAGTACTATACTATCCATTATCGGAGTATCATGAACAGTGCTCCTCTTTGTCAGAGAATTAGTGACAATGTTGCAGAGAATTGCTAGTCTTCGTTACATGCTTATAACATTACTGGAAAGGCTACAATTCTTTGTATTATGCGTTGACTTATTTTTAGTTACATGGATTCATTAAGTTTTATTTCTCAAAGCTTAATAGTAATAAGAATCAGTTTAATAGTTTGTTTTTAAATATTTAGACAAGACTTTTATATATTATTCTCATCAAAAACATAATGTTTTTAGACTATTACAAACACATATTACTACGAATTTTTTTTTTCTCCTGTTACATGTAAAATAACTATCATAAATAGTATATGTAAATTTATAAGATTTATTATGATACGTAAAGATTTCAGATAAGAAGTTGACAAAAATAAATTATAGGTTCAAACAGGATTTAATACTCTGACAACTAACACTATTAGTAACTCCAATTTATTTTACTCTACAAAGGATTGGGTAAAGACATTGCATGTATATTTTTCTATTTTTTCTCTTTGATCTTTTTATTTAAAACTTATGAATAAAAATCTGCAAAATTGTGTCGATAAAGTTAACTTTATAAATTAAGTAACTATAAAGATGACAAATCTTGGACTGCAGATCTTTATTTTTATTTTTATTAGCAAGCTTTTGATACAAGATTAGTAGGATTTTTATAACTAATTATCAAGTCAATAAAGTGCAGTGAAAAATATTTTCGGTTCAATTAACCTTTCTTTTATTTTTAACATGGCTCACAGAAAGTAATAGTGTCTTACTCTTCTACTATTCATCGCTCGTTCTGCCAGAAAAAATTTTTCTCAGTTCTACATTGTTTTTCGTAGCTTAAAACTGAAGTTTTAAAAAATGAATTCATACCTCTGTATAGATGTTACGAAAGTTTTAGTAACGTTTAATAATAAAATTTTTTGAATGATAAAAACAAAATTATCATGAAATTTTCATGCAAATTAATTTATAAGAAAATGCCCATTTTTTTGGCATATGCGTTGATTCAGTACAAAAAAAATCTTTTAGAACTACAAAGTAAGAAAGTTACTTTTAAAGTTATAAACTTAAACTGAACATTTTAAATTTACGAATTTTACAACTAGTTTTTTGTTGTATCTTTAGTATATAAAATACAAAGGGTAAAAAAAATTTCGTACAATCTTTGAGAAAAAAAAGATTTTTGAAGAGTAAAAAAAATTTGTTTAAAGTATTTTTTTAAACTCTAGTTATATTTTTCGAGGTATAAGTTAATTTATGAATTTAGATATCTCAGTCTTATGCTAAAAAAAAGCCATTTTAAGGCAGGTAGCTGAGAAAAATTGAATTTGGAAAGTGACAAACACCTTTATGTACATTATATATTTTATGCAATGCTGTACATATAATGTATGAACATAAGCGTGGAAAAATCATGAAAGTGGAATGTGATGGAATACGTGATGCGACACTACTCGAGTGTCGTATACTCCCGCATAGCTACGTAATGCATACATGTAAATGATACATTGTGTGTACTTACGTTAGACGGGCAAGGATGTAGGAAAATGAGCATTATCCTCTGGTGCTCATTTTTGCTACTCTCCGATTGGACGTTTGTTCATATAAAAACAGTTTTTTCTCAGAACATGGTAGATTGCTATTATACTCAGTAAAGTAATATCGTACTAATATTTTTTATATCTCTGAATACCATTAAGGCATTGGGTTTAAATATACACAAAATAAATTTCATAAAATATTGCACTATCTGTCAACATTTTGAATGAAACATCTATCACGATGAAAATGTCTTTAATGTTAAAAATGTTGAAAAGGAAAGTTAACAAGTTCTTATCCAACATTGTGAGAATAGTTACTTTTGATTGTAAAATACCTTATAATGGGACCCAAAATTAATGTTTAGAGGGTTTTATGAGGACATTCACCATGTACTACTTGTAAAGTAAACAAAAAGGATCAAAAACTTCTAAAGTTTTGTATTACATATTACGCCCTTGGAAAATCCATAAAACTATCTCTGAAAATGCTAAAAAAGTTATAAGACATTTTATTTACGGCGTATTAAAACCTAACTTTTGTATGCTTAAAAAAAAGCTTATTTATATTCCAAATTTATAAAATTTATGAAAATCCTGAGTGAAAAGAAAATTCTTTCTTACACCCAGCGCCGTGCCGTCTTGATGCATTAGTAATACTTAGGGAGATTAGGGATTTTCGATACATTATTATTTCATACAGAGTATAGTGGCCAAGTTTACTAAGTTCAAAAGAAAAAATATTTTTGTTTCTGCTCACGTAAAATCTCCCACCAGTATGCGTTTAATAGAATAAATTTAAAATGTTCAAAATTTTTCCAAAGCAAAAATCCAAAGTTAAATAGAGATTTAGCTTACTATTGAAATAATAATATTATTCCACATTAAATTCAGAACACAATGTTTTTCGCTGAATAAGACATGAATTTTTTGGCTTAAGTTTGGCTTTTTATAACAATGCAGCAGTAACAATTAAATTTTGCACTATTTTGACTTATAATTTTTTTCACTAGCACTATTGAATTTTTCGTGTGAAATGGTTGAAAATTGAATCACACTTCTACAAGTACACTGGTATAGGATATTAATTCATTAAACAAGAAATTGGAATTCTTAATTAAATGATTTAATTTTTAACCACTATACAAACGGTCCTCAATTTATTAAGTGGTTTTTCATGCTACGGTTGTTCTTATTATATCATTACTTAACTTCTACAATTATATTTAATCTATTAATATCATAAATAATTGTAAGCATTTGAATTTTGCGCTTAAAGAATTGATATCTTGGATTTAAATTGGGTAGGCGGACTTACCAAGCTTACCCGAGTTTGGTCTGTCTACTTTTCTGATTGGATAGGCTATCCAAAGGTGTAAAAGCAGCAGCCCCAAGTACACATAGATTGCTTACAGAACTGCTGTTTTTTCATCTTGAAGGGTTTACCTGTCCAACGTAGGAGAGACGATGGACCAATCAGTTGGCTTCTGCTCACAATAATTTTGACGAGTCTGCCTTTCCAAATTTTTGGGTATTCTACTGATTACAAATATACTAAAACATTAACAAAAAAAAAAAAAAAAAAAATTTGGCTGTAACGGTTACTCAATAATGGAGAACCATCTCATTTTTCTGTATTTGAACAAATATCAGCTAACAGTAAAATCATTACAACTTTAATTAAAGGAAACTTGACAAGCAACATTACTTTATAGCAGAGATATAACGCAGAAGCAAATAGCTCAAACTGTAATAGAGATTATCACAACATTAACAACATTTTGATTAACGTTAAAAATCCATGAATGAATAATCATTACTTTCGGATGTAGCTATTTTAATGTAATAGAATAAAATTTTGACTTGTTAACAATCTGGTGCCATTATACTTGAATAAATGATTCTACATCACTCATCACGTAATAAAACCAATGAAAAAAAAACTTACTTATTGGTGTGAAATTCTTTTAAATATCTTGTGCCAATAAAGTCTTTTAAAAATATTTCATACTAACTGAGTAATCAATTTTCTTGGTTTAAGTAGTAAAGGGATACTTTCGGAAATCAATTTTAGGTATTAATTAAAAAATTTTGAACAACTAAATTAAAACACCAATTTATCCTATACAGTAGTTTTTGAAAAACGCTTGCAATAGTAAAGAAGCACCTAACGAAAGCAAAATAGTAAAGCCAAAGGAGAGAGAGAGAGAGAGAAATAAGGAAAGACAGATGTAGTTGCAAAGAAAAAAAAAAAAAAAAAAAAAAAAAAAAAAAAAAAAAAAAAAAAAACAAAGAAACAAACAAAACCAAACAAATAAAAGCGAGCTTGAGTTCGCAATTCACTGAAGAGATCTGGGACCCGAGCAAGAGCGCGCGGGGCTCACTCATTTGAGCGGGTTTATGTGCGCCAGGTGGAGGCTGGACCGCAGGACGGCACTTTGCTAGTCACCTGGCAGCCTGTTGCCCTAAACGGTTCGGCAGTCACCGGTTACGCGGTTTACGCCGACGGCAAGAAGGTCACCGACGTCGACAGTCCCACGGGCGATCACGCGCTCGTCGACATACACAAGCTCATGGGCCTCAATCCCAAGCACATCACCGTAAGGACCAAGAGCCGCGAGAGCCAGTCCGGGGACAGCTGCGCCACTGCTATACCGTGCTCCGTACTCAGAGGTAAAGTACTCTTTTTAGTACATGGTATACATACTTTTTTACAATCCTATAACTGGTAGTAAGTATATATTACGCCAAAGCAGATCTTTGTCACAGGAGAGTGATAATCATTGAAAGCTCGAATCGCGTGTGCTATTTTTCCAACTGGGGATCTTTCCATTGTGTTACAGTAGAAGGGCATTTTTTATTACTTTAAATTATCTACAACTTCTCCGTAGTTACTGCCAATTATGAGAAAGTAATGAAAAATATCGAGACAAGTTTAATTTAAAATGGTAAAACAAAGATAATATATATTCACGTGCCTTCGCGAAAATATTTTAAAACAGAATTAGAGCACGAGCTTTCGAAGATACGAACTGCACGGGTGGCCGTAAATCTTTACGTACAGACGTGCGCTTATCACCTCGAGTTACGCTGATAGCGCACTAACGACTAAATTACGGAGTACGAGTCACAAGATTTCGTTGTTGAATTGGATTAGATTATCCATGGGTGCATTAATTTAATAAATTAAAGTACACGTTAAGGTTACTGTGATTTTTTAAAATTTTTATTTCATACCGTTTAATAAGTTCTCAAAAATACGAGATTGTACATCTTTCATTCGAAATTTGATGGAAATTTCTACGTTGAATAAGATTATTGGACTCGTCTGGTTTTTATTCTCGTAACCATTTCTTGATCTACACTTTATAATGTTTTAAAATAAACTAACAAATTGGTTTTTGAAAAAAATCAAGGACATTCTTTCTACGCTACCTCACGATAAATATGAACTTTAAAATTTCAATTATTATATCACATTATTAACATTATATGTATTTTGAATGACCATTAAAACTTTCGTAAAAAAAACTTGCTTAAGCTTTAAGCCAACGCTTTGCAAAAATAAGAAATTTATTGTATAGTGTATTAATTGTATCACTGTTTATAGAAATACTATGTTAATAACAAAATATTCTAAATTACTACATTTCATCGGTCTGCTCAATTTTTTTTTCTGTTTTATAGTACGATATTTTTATAAACTCTACACAAAATGTCAACGTTACTCTACATGAAAATATTAATTTTTTAAAAGATTATTAAAATTATTATTTTTTTTATTAAGTAATTCAATATTTACATAGTTATTAATTAGACACTTTTTTAAAGCAATTTCACTTAAATTAATGCTCTCTAAAATNCAGAAATAAAAAAAAATTTTGTTATACAATAAAAATTGTAATTTACAACTTTTTCCATTGTATAAAGTGTGTTACAAATGAACAAGAATTCAAAATTAAAAATTGTAATACGATATGGTTTTTTTACATTAAAAAAATATACGTGTAAAATTTCAAATTTTATATTCAGTAAAAAAAGTATAAAAAATAACTTAGTGAAGAAGCAGCTTGTTGGAACAGGCATTAACTCTGTTTTTACTTTTCTACTGTTATATAAATAATACATGTATACGTTCCCGTCATTTTTTTAAAATATGAGTGGTAGTTTTAGTTAAATTTTGAAAACATACAATTTATCGTCCCAAAAAATATGCATTACTTTTTTCCTACATACTTTGTCTCACTTCAATTTGAGGGTTTTTTTTTTACATTAAAATTTATGATGAATAAAATATCTGTGATATCCGAACAGCTGTTCAAGTGCAGCCAGACCTATTTTAATAATATTTTTCCATCATCCTGTAATCGTTAAATGGCTTTAAAATATCAAACTAGTTCATACCAACAGGAATATCTACGAATCCCACAGACAATGTTAATGAAAACAATAAAAACCACAAATAAGCGTAGAAACTTTGAAGCCATAAAGATTACTTTTTCTATAATTTGTATCGTTTTTAGTGGTATTTAGCTCGACGCAATGAACTGTGGTGATGCATCATAAATTGAACTTTGGAGTTAAATAGTTAACCAATGTAGATTAGAGTCCTTGAAACTCTGTTCATGCATATTCATTGTACGCAGGTGGTGTCGTCCAGATGCAGCATCAGCAAATGCAGCAGATGCAGCATCAACAGCAAATGCAACACCAACAGCAGATGCAGCACCAACAGCAGATGCAACATCAGCAAATGCATCCACAAGATCAATCGCAGATGCATCCACAGATGCAGGACCAGACGAGCATGGGCATGATGGGCCCAGTCGGGCCAATGGATCCCAACCAGCAACAAGGTATGGGTGGAATGATGGGCCCCCAGAGGTACGGTCCACAGAACTCGCAGTTGCCACCGCACATGAGGCAACGGCAAGGGGTTACGCGGCACGATGCCCACGGCCAAGTGATCATTGAGACCGACGAGAATCTGTCTGACAAGGAGATCTACCCAGGCCACAGCATGGGCCAGACAATGGGTGAGTGATCTTTTTGAGCTAGTTAACTTTTGATACCATATATTTATATTTGCTGTGTACATCTGGAATTATGAGAGTGTGTCTCAATGGTGGTGGTCCCTTAAATTACAATGTGCAGAGCTTTGGATTTGACCTAGAGAGATCAAAAGGTAGAGCCTATATAATGTACAGGCAGGTAAATAGAAACGGATATAAATGATAAAAACTGTAGAAAAAGAAACAGGGAAGTGTAGAAATATAAAATAAAAAAGGGAGATTCTGAACATTAAATGGTACAAAAACAGAGACAAGTCCATACAAATGATATCGTGAAATAGAAGGAGTCAAAGGATAAAATCTAGAGATGTAGACTCGTCAACAAATAAATAATTGTATGCAGAATTCAAAACGTACAAATATCATTACCGAGAAATATACCACAGAAAAATAAATAATCTTAAAAATGATAAAACACAATTCATAGTATGAGAGATAAAAAAAGGTAAATAATTAAAAACAAAGAAACAATAGCACACCCTAGTTACAGAACAGAACAGACGAAACATGGAAACAGTGTAGCTATATTTTTATATAAACTTACGAACCGAGCCGCAAAAATAAAAACAAAGAAATCACTAAAAGGTACAAGAAGAATAACATAGATAAAAAATAAAAATTCAGAGGTTAAAAATTACATAATGAATGTAACAAAAAAAAATACTACTGATATGGAGACATAAACGTAGATATCAATTTGAAAGTACAGTGTCAAAACCTAAAAAAAAAGATAGGTACCAAAACATAGGTTCAGATAAGAGCATAGGTACAAACGCCAATCAATAATTAATGGTATAAAAATATTTAGGGTAAGAAATAACGAGACGAAGATATGATTACAGGAACTAAAACATTTACATAATAAGAGATTTTTTACTGTAACCAATCACAGAAATTAGAAATCACTGTAACAGAGCTAGAAAAACAAAAGCATTGACATCGGAACAAATGTCTTTTTCAAAATTTAAAGATAGTTCTGAAAAAATAAATAAAAAAATTTTTTTAATGTATTTTTTTAAGTTGTACAACTTTTTTTTGTCACTAAATGTCCAGCTCTTTGATATTTTAAGATATACCGAAAAAACTGATCATTTTAACCTGTAAAATTACATATTATTACTATAAAGGCATGGAAATACTTTTTTTTGAGTCAAAATAAGTAGTTAGAGGTTTTTTTTATCTACTTTTTTTTCTTGATTGTGTATGGATCTGAAATATCTACTTGAAAAATTACATGCAAAAAATTTATGATAATTTTTTTATAGTTGTGCAATCTTGGGTCTTATAAATCTTTTTTATTCGATGTAAATTTCTGGTATCAAAATTATCAGGTTGTGATAGGAAAACAAGAGTCAAGTCGGATGTAAAGTTTTCAATGTAGTCGATTGATATGACTAATATGACTACATAAGTGGTGGTTAAACTTTTTGCTCTAGTAAAAATGTAAGGTATTCCTGTAAAGCTGTCGTACCTAAAAACGGAACTATAAGTACAAACAGTCATTAATAAAAAAAAAAAAAAAAAGTTGATCTCAAATACAGAGTCTTACAAGTAAAAAAACCAATAATTAAAGACTAAAAGTAATACCAAACTGATAAAGACATAATTCAAAAGTATGAAAATCCTCAATGAAAAGCCAGAGTAGTGACCATGTGGAGGACGGTAAATACGTTCTTGTGAGTGATGAATGTAATGTTTAGCCTTGGATAGAATAAAATCCTTTTTGTCTCTGAAATCAGGGATAAAAAGTACTTTTGGCGAGGATGTTAAAAGAAAAGTGTTCTAAACATCGATAATAAAATTCTGATAATCACGGCAACTATATGGGGAATAGAAAGGCACGATAAACAAGGTAAAGAAACTATCCATGATATGTAAAACCCCGGTGCCAATAACACTCGTACAGGTGAACGAGACTCGGCAAGCGAGGCAAACTATAGCGAAGACGAAGCGGATGGCCCACCGCGTGGAAGAGTCGTTGGTCCTGGCGGTGGTATGAATAACTCTGGTGCTCGCGTAATGTTACATCACGAACAACAACAACAACAACATCAACAACAACCAGGTGCTTCAGGCCCTATGCAACACCCCCAGCAGCACCATCAGCAACATCCACAGCAGCACCCCCAGCAACACCCTCAGCAACACCCTCAGCAACATCTTCCTCATCAGCAACAACAGATGCAGCATCAGATGCAGCAACAGATGCAGCAACAGATGCAGCGTTACGGTCCGCAACAGGGGGGTCCACCAGGAGGACCTGGAACTGGTCCACAGGTTCATCGACAGATGGTCCGACCACCTCAGCCGGGCCAACATAGAGGTCCTCCACCACCCCCGCAGGAGCAGTATTATGAGCAACAACAACAGCAACAGCAACAGCAACAACAGCAGCAGCAGCAGCAACAACAGCCACCACCAGGTACAGGAAGAGGCCGACTCGAGCTAGTGCCAAAATGGCGTTCTACTTTCAAGTCGATTGTACTTGTGCATTGTTATTTATGTGTCTACACGAATATATATATATATAAATGTACAGACAGACATTCATTTTCTTTCTATCTTAATTGTGTGCTTGATGTTTATACTTATACTTTTACGTACTGTGATTTTTATTCATAATGAAACTTTCGACTTACGTGGGAATACAAATCCAATTATGTTTATTTTTGATAATGATGCCTTCAATGAAGTGCATCATCTGCTTCGTCATCTTTTTGTCTTGTGTGTGTGTAAAACAAAAATAAGCATGATTTGATCCTTCCAATAACTATTTAGTCTAACAACACAACTTGATTTTTAACTATTTTTTCATGCAATGTGCTGGATCATTTCTACTCTATTGTTACGATACAAAAATATAATCAATGGATTTATGACAAAACACTGCACTCTCTCGATTGTATAAAACTACTGATACAAATTGCAAAACTAACTATTGGTCTCATTCTTCTTCAATAACACAGAACCACAAAAAAAAATTTAATACACACATAATGGCCCAAAATGCACTAAATGTTTTTCGGGTTGCTGAACACGACTGTGTACCAAAATTGATGTACTTAAGGTCAGAATTTTTTTTTCTAATATGTAAATTTATCTAATAGTGGCAATAACTTTTCATAAATATGGTCTTCTTGTTGTTTCCTTTTTAACATTGTTCTAAGTGTCAAAAAAAATTTAAGCCATATTTTACCACATCTTGTAAATACATAATTATACCCACAAACGTGTGTATGTCTGTGTACATAATATTTACTTTTTCAGGCATTATCTTTTAACTACACGACTTTCTACATTATTACTTTACATTGAATGCTCTATAAAAAGAAGTTTGCTTTAATATTATGTGTACTTTTCACAACACAATGAAGCTTTGCTGAAATATTTTTTTTGCACGAGCCTTAATGTTTTTGTATACTGTCAAAATAAATTAACGGTATAAAAAAATGTGGACAACTGTTTATAAAGACTTTTTTTTACATCTAATGTGAGTCTATTAAATTAAAAATTTATTTGTGTGAATCTTGGACAATTTCTCTCTGAATTCCTAATGGCATTAACAAAAAATTATTAATATTGTATGCATAATTTATACTTATTCATTCAATTAATGTTTCAGTTACGTGTTTCCAAACAATACCCTCAATTTAATAACCATTTATATCTCTTTTACGATAATCTTGCTACATGAAATTATTCTGAGTGTGCGTTGTCTGTTTAGTGTGTTTTCTAAGAATATCGTCGTTTTATGTGATGTAAATATTGTACAAAAATGAATCCGTACACTTGAATGTTGTTTTCGCTGTATTTTTTGTCACCATTATTTATGAATACTTCAACACAAATTGATGTAAAGTCTTTAGCACGATTTGAGAAAAAATATGCAGAACCCAGAAAAATTAAAATACTACGTATTTAATATACTTTACATAAATGTGTTAAGTAAATAGAAATTTTATGTCGTACGACTTTGCGCAACACGTATAAATCATTGAGATGATACAGTAATAAATAAAAATAATTTAGTGAAAGTATCCTAAGGGTCCATTACAACTAAATCAGCCTTTGATCAACAATATGTAACTGTTACTAGCGAACATTTTGCACCTCGTACTACATTTTGAGTTTTCTGAAATTAGGGTATCATGATTTATTTATCGCTATTTCTATAGAGCTGATTATTTATTAGTTACGGCAATATGAAAATTTGTTACATAAATTGACATTGAACTAAATTGATGACTTGCTCACTACAAAGTAAATAATTTTTCTAAAGCATTTCCCAGAGAGTTGTTTAGGTACCTCTTTAAAAATAGATTATTTTATATCAATGATGTACTATTAGATTTAATCTGTATTAAAAACATAAGCATAATCTTGTATTTTCTGAGTGGTAGGCTTCATTCTCAGTTTTAGGCTAAAAGGAGATAATTTAAGGGTTAGAGATAAGATATTAATACAGTGCGTTGCAACGTGTATTATTAAAAATACTCTTAGAAATTAAATCAAGAAAAAAAATTGGCATGTAAACAATTTTTTTGTTCTTACTAACAGGTGGCCAAAGAGGACGAGGAATGATGTACGGAAGGGGAGGCCACATGAGGCAAGTAGGACCATACCGTTCACCCGGCGCTCACCAGATGAACAAACAGAGGCCCCGATACTTTGTCGCCTTGTTTGATTATGATCCCAAAACAATGTCACCCAATCCGGACGCGGGCACGTACGAGCTTGCTTTCTGCGAGGGTGATGTGATTCAGGTTGGGATTTGTCTTCTAATATTAAAAAAAACTACTTTAATTTGAATGGTGAAAGGAACAAAAATTGAGATAATAATGGTGAACAATAATAATAATATTATTAGTATCAATTACAACGCACTTGCGTAATTAATTAATTAATTATTTAATTCTTGGTTTTTCATAAAAATTAAGCTCGTTTACTTAATATAGCAGTAAAACATTATTAAAATCAGGCTTATATTCCAAAACTTTACGGAACAAATAGTAACAAAGACTTATATATAAACTAAAAAGGTTCTGGCAAAAAATAAAAAAAACCATAGATAATGCTGAAAAGTTATTTTATTCTTCTTAAAAACATAATATTTGCTAACGGATTGTTCCAACATGTTTCCCAGACGCGTTTTCAGGAAAAAAAATCAATTAATTCCACAATTTTACGTACACTTTTACTGGGGTCAGTATTTAAATTGTAATGAAATTACCATTCAAATAAATCAAAACTTTCTAAAAAAATTTCTCCTAGTTAGAAATAAGTTGGTTAAAAATAAGCTGTTTTTCAAAAAAGAATAAGCGAATGAAAAAAATCACACAAAAAATCTTTAAAGAAGTTACATTTAACAAAATTCAATCTGTGACCTCAATAACAGCCCATGTTAAATTGTGGAGTTGAATGATTTTTTTTTCTCGAAAATACATTGTAACGTTCGATATCTTACCTTTGAACTCACACACTGGAATTATTAAACAAGAAGGGGCATGACAGGACAACACCGAGGAATGGTGAAGGTCGCTGGTCACTATTAACTCTATTTAACAGATCAAGCGAACCCGGAAGGGTGAAGGAATAACCCAAATAATTATGAATCGAAATTTGGGATAGAAAAAGACCATTGAGTTATACGTTTAATTTATATATTATCATTAAACTCGTTTTCTAAAGACCATAACAGTGATCCAAATTGAACGTCAGTTATACAAAATTACTCCGTTTTACCAATAAGGACGCTAGTGGATTATAATTATGACAAACAATTTATTTATGAAACATTTGCGTTTCAAGTATTTCCGAAGATTATGAAATAGTTAACAATGATATTAATCAACGCATGAATTAAAAAAAAGAAAGAGATTTATACAAAGTGTTGTTAGGCGCGCAACAAATGACTGCTAACAAAAACTCGATTGGAAAGAGAGGCCTCGTAGCTTTCCAAGCAAGGGAGTCAAAGTTAGAGTGCCAGGTCTCTCTTCTAGCTGCAACATGAAACCTCGGTTTTAGGGCGGCATATGAATCTTCGCTGTCCTTGTTTATGATACCGATGTGCCAGAGAAAGAGACAGGTAGTCGCTTCAAGTTACATATTGTGATTCTCCCATGTAGTGCTAGCGTTAGGCTCGGTGACTGCGGCGCGGGCGACGGTACGGGATGTGCTGCGTTGCAAGCTCCCAGAAAATTACCTACTTGATGCGCGAGTGTGCTTGATATTTATGAGCGCCTAAATTTAAACTTACATGGTAACAAAAAAAAAAATGTATCCATTTTTATGTAGTTATATGACCGATGGTCACAACATCTGGAAAAAAATATTGATAAAATTCATACATACATATTATTCTTAAAAAAAAACTTATTATTTTTTAGTATGACCTAAAACTTTTCAATTTTAGCCAGAACCTCCTTAAACAGTTGTCAATTTAAAAGAGCAAAATGTAAACCTTCAGACTTCATTGTCTCTTTTTAAGTGAGCAGTGAAAGATATTTTTTTTAATTTAATACTATAATAAATTGAGTTCTATTTTATTTATGGTACAATATTAATTATTGAGCTTTTATTTATTTTAGCTAAATATTTATTTAACAATCACTCATAGTATGAATCATACCAAAAGATAAGTTAGAGTTAAACAATATACACAGAATGTAGAAAAACGAGTGTGACAAGGTGTGTATGTGACTTATACCATACCACACGATATATTACTATGTCACTTAAGGATTTTGGTGGAGAGGTGTGAGGTATGGGGAGACATGTGACTACGATCAAAATGTAGGGAGTTACAGAGTGCTTCCAAGGAGCAAAACATTTTTTATTACAAAAAAAAAATACTTTTTACTTTATTTTGCGGGGGGCTGCGGGGAGATATGGAAAAAGTGGGGGACGTGGGGGAAGGGGGGTAATAATATAAAAAAAGCAAGAAAAAAGCATATTATTATTTTAGTTTATTATTACTTTTGATTGGAGAAAAAAACGTGTGGTAGAGCGAGGGGAGCTATTACTTCTGACTGAAAAATTAGCTGTATAATATACGAAGATGTATATACAAGTACAGAGTTTATGTGAAATTATAATTTTTTGTAGGCTGACCTTTTTATAAAAAATGTGAGATTGATTGATATTGATAATCAACATGCTTATTGCAAAGATGCTTTAAAATATAATTTTTTCATACAGTGACCAATACGGTTTTATTTACGAGAAAACGGAATTGAAAATCAGAAATTGTTGACGATGGCAAAATTTTTTATATCTTATCTTTTTTGCTACAAACTTAAATTCACCAAGTTGATCTTTTAAAATTTGATACTAAAGAGACCTTCAAAACCTTTGACTAGCTGATTTCAAGAAGAAAAGATTCCTCTCTTTTTTTAGACTGCCATATTCGATTTGCTATTTTTAATTAATCAATTCTGTGTGGAACTAGAAAGTTAGAAGTATGGCATAAGATCACTCACCCTTGCGCATAGATGGTAATTTTTTCCGGTGAACCAAGATAAGTAAAGACGTTAAGTAAACTTCGCAGTACAACTAATCTTCATAAAAGTATTTTTCGATTTCCTTTTGCTGTCGATTCCGTAATTATTAGTACTATATATTCCGTAAGTTCTTTGTTGTCTGAAACTACCTTAGTTAATAAAAAAAGGTGCCCCAAGAAAAATAATAATATTAGTGATAATCCTTATAATCATAACTACCAGTAATATTGTGTTATAATAATAACAATAATAATAATAAAATAATAACGATAACAACACTAACAAATAATAAAGATAATACTAACCCAAACTTGTTTGTAGGTGACAGGTGACAAGGATCCCGACGGATTCTACTGGGGTAGCCTAGGTAATAAGACTGGCTACGTACCTCACAATATGGTAGAGGAGGTAACGGACCCAAATCAGCTAGCCCAGGTGCACGGTATGAGACGGGGTCAGGTGACAAACGATCGCTGGGGCGATACCTACGCAAGTATGCCTGTAAAAAAGATGATTGCTCTATACGACTACGATCCACACGAGCTGTCACCCAACGTGGACGCAGAGGTAGGATGTCAAGTTACCCCAGTTTCTGCCAAAGCAGCATTGATCTAAAACAACGCTAATCTTGCTCTTTTGCAGCAGGTCGAGCTCAGCTTCCGCACTGGAAATGAGATCTATGTTTACGGTGAAATGGACGACGATGGCTTCTACATGGGCGAGCTCAATGGAATGCGGGGCTTAGTGCCGAGTAATTTCCTCACCGAGGCCCAGGATCAGGGACCACCAGGCAGCAGGAGACCCCCAGGACCAGGACAAGGCCCAGGTGCCCGTGGACCACCACCACCGCCCCGCGAGGTACCTGGTCACCGACGTAACAAAGGTAACGTAGATGAAAGCCTCGGCTGATCTGTGTCCCAGTTATTGTGAATTTTTCTGGGTTGAATTGCAAGTCTGACTATGATAGGCTCGATTCCCCACCTTACGCTCGACGTTCGCGGTTGGTTGGTCCGCGACGTTTGGCTCAAAGACGTGACATTCCATTTGTGTTTAAAACGTGGTACATAAGAACTGAAGCATATCTTTTGTGTTACAAAAAAACAATTATTGCAAATTTTGGATGAGCAAAAACTTTTCCTTAACAAGAGTAAGGTAAATCAGAAAGAATATTTATACATATTCAACACGTATTTTCTACGTATGTGCTGATCTATCTTTTGTTTTTTGAGTGTCAATCCGTATAACAGCATGTTTTAATATACGTATTTATTTATTTACATACATATATAACTTCAATTACGGTGTACTGACGAGATATTACTGGGCAAGTCTTTTGTGCTCTGTCTGATTCGACTTGGTTAAGTTAGTCTGTATACATTATTGCATTGCGTGCTTAGGCTAGCGTTGGATGATTGTACTATTCTGAAACACCACTATATTTGATATTGCTTTCAAATATTACAATTTTTTTGCAACACGACATTGGTCAACAAAATTTTGAGATTTTGACAGAGTTACTTTCACACAAAAATCCTTAAGTTGATTATGTTTTGTTAATAATTTAAACGATAAATCTTATACCAATAAAACTATCTAAAAAATGTATTAAGGGTAAGGCTTGAGTAATAGTTGGAAAGTGTATTTTAGTATCCAATGATAAGCAATGACTTATCACAAGTTCATCGCAAACCCTCATGACTCATTGTAGGCAATCATTGGATGTTAAAATTTATTAATTGATATCATGAGTTATCATAAGATTTCAAACGCTAGCTCAAGAGCCCGCCCTTTTTTTAATTACTCACACATTCTTATCATTTACGTTTTACACGTAACTGAAGATGAATGATTTCTAAACAAAAACTTGAGCAGCTTAACTATTGTAAGTACCACGTGATGATATTAATTTTCAATTCATATTTTAATATGAACTCGTTATGTTATTTTCACAGAACCCGATGCAAAAGTGTAAACATTTTTATTTTGTTATAAAGTTTGTGATTGGAAAATTAATGTCCATTATTATTGCAAATGGAATGTAACGCTATTAAAATATTGCCATGAGTCTCGATGTGCCAGACAGGGAGTGGTGAATTGCAGAAGAAACAAATGGTGTTTCCAAAAATACTGTGGACCTGCTGAAAAATGAATGCAATGAAAAAAGTTTAGCGTAAGTGTATCTGTTTCCCCCATCACCATCACATAACACAATGCAATCATCGAACCCAAAAAGAAGCAACAGCGTGTTTTTTTTATTTGATACGTCGGGTTGGACGAGCCATAAAATAACAAAACCGAGATATTTAGGCCTATATTTTTATTAAAAATACTTACACTAAAGAAATGAAAAAAAAAAAAAAAAAAATAAAATACTCAAGAGTAAGGTGATGTTTGTTACTGGCCATCGACTGGTGACCAAAGAGCGGCGAGTCCTGTGTTGCAGATTACCATTTCAGGTTATGTAATTATAGAAAACAGCTTACGAATTACTTGAATTTTTTTTTTTTTTTCTTTTTAATCACTACAGTAAACGAAAAATACTCTATACTATGAAATACCATGACCAAATATTCACGCGTTTTGTCACTAAAGTTTGAAACACATATAAAAAGAAAGAATACTTGCTGTGTTTTATTGACATGTATTTTTTTTTCAATGTATTATGTGTATAAGTTAGGCGAACACACGACTATTTGCAATAAACACCAAGCTCTGCTTTCAGTGTACTCTATTAAATATATTATATACATATATGTTTAAACATATATTTTTGTTCTGTCTCTTTCTATCTATCTCTGTCTACTTCTGCGAGTGCTATCGGCTCCATGACTTTTTTATAAATATACATATTC